AAAGGAGCCTGTTTTGTGGAAGGAATCGGAGAAAGCAATCGAGATGCAGAGGCTGAGCAGTCCAGCAGCGAAGTTCCGCCCTCGTAGAGCTAAATTTGGCACAAGGAAAAGATCAATGAAGATAGTGTATAGCAAAAGGATTGCTTGTGTATCAGGGGATTCTGGAATTGGGAAGACAGAACTAGCCTTAGAATATGCTTACAGATTCTCTCAGAGATACAAAGTAGTGCTGTGGTTGGGAGGGGAAAGTAGATACATCCGTCAGAACTATTTGAACCTCCACAGCTTTCTGGAAGTTGATCTCAGCATCGAAAGCGTTCATCTTGATAAGGGAAAGTTGAAGTGTTTTGAAAAGCAGGAAGATGAAGCCATAACTAGGATTAGGAAAGAGCTGATGAGGGATATTCCTTTTTTAGTTGTGATAGATAACTTGGAAAGTGAGGACTGGTGGGATAGGAAAGTTCTAATGGATTTCCTTCCCCGTTTTGGTGGTGAAACCCATTTCATTATAACCACACGCCTTCCTCAGGTCATCAACCTCGAGCCATTGAAGCTTTCCTACTTATCCGGCGGTGAAGCTTTGTGTTTGATGAAAGGGGGAGTAAAAGACTACCCTGTTTCAGAGATTGATGCTCTTAGGGTCCTTGAAGAAAAGCTGGGTAGGCTTACTCTGGGTCTTGGAATTGTAGGAGCAATCCTTTCAGAGATTCCAATAACACCGACTCGTCTCCTTGACACCATAAACAGGATGATGAGCCGAGATACTGGATGGAATGACAGAGATAGTGTCTCACTTCGTCGACATGCTTTCCTCGTCGGGCTCTTAGACGTCTGTCTTTCAATATTTGATCATGCCGATGGGCCAAGAAGTTTGGCAACTAGAATGGTTCAAATCAGCAGCTTTTTCGCTCCCTCTGCAGTTCCAGTCTCCCTATTAGCTCTAGCAGCACACAAAGCTCTAGAAAAACACAGCGGCTCATTGTTTTGGAAGAAGAACCTACTAGATAAGTTCACAAGATCTCGTCTCAAGAGAACTGAAGCAGAAGCTTCATCCATGTTGGTGAGGTTTGCAGTGGCGAGATGCAGCACCAGGCCGGACTGCATCTACTTTCATGAGATCGTAAAACTATATGCTCGCAAGCGTGGAGTTGATGGAGTTATGTTAGCAATGGTTCGGGCTGTTTCGCTACGTGGCTCCATTTTTCACTCGTCCGAGCACTTGTGGGCGGCCTGCTTTTTGCTCTTTGGGTTTGGGACTGACCGTGTGTTTGTTGAGTTGAAGCCAACTGAGTTAATTCAGTTCATTAAGCGTGTAGCTTTACCGCTTGCTGTCCACACCTTCATCGCCTTTTCGAGATGTGTTGCAGCAATGGAGCTGCTTCGGCTCTGCACTGAAGCCCTTGAAGTTGCGGCCGAGTCCCTCGTCTCTCGATCTGAGAAATGGTTCGATAAATCATTTTGCTGCTTGAATCTAATCCGATCTGATGCTCGGTATATGCACCTGTGGCAGGAGCTGGCTCTTTCGAAGGCTACTGTCTTGGAGACGAGAGCTAAATTCATGCTCAAAGGAGGGAAATATGATATGGGTGACGACCTCATTCGGAAGGCGATATTCATCAGGACATCTATAAATGGTGAGCACCACCCAGATACCATATCTGCTAGGGAAACTCTGAGTAAACTCACAAGACTACTCGCAACCGATCAAGTTAGTTAATTTTATTTATATAGTTTTCACAGTTTAATCACCATATATTCTTTATTGTGGTTTTCACAACCAATAGAATCATAGGAATCCATATTGTCAAATAACAAGATTTTTTTTTATGTGGTTTCTTTGTTCATCCTTGCGCTGATAATGGACCACTCTTTTAACAATTTTAAGAAATCACAATGCCTTTTTGGAAAATGTTATTCACTAACATGTGTATAAAGTGTTCTACAAAATGCGAAGTACAAATTTTTAGTTGCTTTCATTTGATGCGTTGAAGTTTCCTGCAAATTTTTTGGTGCAGAAGTTGTTAAATTTCTGCTTTCATTTACAATGCGTAGGTGCTGCTGTTGCTCCTGCTGCATGTACGTTTTTCTTACAGCTTCAGTTGATGCTGCAGATTTTGGGATAATCAAATACACAGCACTGAAACCATTGCTATTTACAAAACTAGCACCAATTTGACTTTTTTGAACAACCGAACTGATGCATTTACGTATCTCACAAACAGACCTTTGACATTTTGATAAAATTGAAAAATATGGGTTGGAGTTTTATCATGAATTTGATATTTTAGTGAGCATTTGAAAAATGAATGAAAGATTGTGTGCTAGAGTTGTAAATAGCAATGTTTTGAGTGCCATCATATTCTCCTGCATTCATCCAAATATATTTGCATCACATCCATCCATACAAATGGCTATCTTTTCATCTTTTTCAGTAAATTATATAAACTCCGGTGCAAATAACATTCCTCTTTTCACCTACCAATGGAACATTTGCCTACTAAAAAGAACTCAAATATTACTATGAAGAAATGTCCTTTTATTTCATCTGGGCATGTACATTGTTACCACACAATTTTTATTTATGTGGATATATAACACTTTTTTTTTTACACATTTATAACATGCAAGTATCACATTAAAAACATAACTATTATTAACTTCATAAAAGTGAAATACATCTTTTCATAGGTATTAGACATGTAAATACATTGAGATTTTGCAATATACATGTAAAGCTTCATTTTATAGTGATTCACAATTCACATGTTTCACATATCAAATTTATAAAGTTAAATTTTTCACAGAAAAGCATCTTTATAAAAATACTTTAACATCAGTTCTGAACTATAGGCTTATTAGATTAAAAAAAATAAAAATAAAATAGGAAACTATAAGGCTTCCATCCAGGAACTTAGAATGTCAAGAAGAATATACAGCCCACTAAAAAACTGTAAAATACATCCAGCAGAACTAGAGAAGGATCAAAAAATAATATTTCAGAGTACTGTAAGTAATACTGTCGGCAAAATAAAGAACCTAGAAGAAGTTACCAGAAGCAAGAAAAAACCTAGCTTTAGGATTAGAGTTTATGATTAAACTATGAGAAAAAGGACAATATAAAAATAAGTGGTTATGAGATTCTAGATTTGTTATAACAAAGAACATATCAATTATTAACATTAATACCTCTACTAATGAGAATATTAGAAGTTTTAAGCCTGCCATTAATGATTTACTTGGAATGCAATGCTAACTAATAAAGGAATAAGTTTGGTGCCAAATCAGCCTATTCTAATCTAATCCCTGGCAGTTAAATGCACATGGATAAAATAATAATGGACTTATTAGTGAAGTGATATGAGTTTTTCCATAGACAGTTCAAAGTATCATTGGAAATAGGAATACTATGAATTAATGAAGACGGTCAATTGGAATATCATTATGAAATTTGTAATGCCCATTTACCATCAATAATAACTTTTCTGCGTACATTATATTTAGGGAAATAAAACCAATTTAAAATAGAAGTACCATATTTATCAATAGGGAAATAATCAAGGATTATAATAAAAGAGAAGAGTACTCTTATAATTAACCATAAAATATAAACAGCTTAACAGGTCAGAAGCAACTTTAGTAAGGCTTTTTTCAAAAGAGGTAGTCAATTTAGCCCAAAGAGAACCATAGTGAGCAATACATCAATTAGCCTCCAGTATATTTTGGATTTGCACATAATATTTATGTTATCTATTGAAGGGATACCAAGAGCATCAAGATTTTTAAGAAGAGTGATAGTATTTGAAGCATAGTGATCATTTTTCTCTCACTATTTTTATGAAAAAGAATGTTGTTAGACAAAATAAATTTTCTTCTTGTTATCTTTAGGTAAAACAGAAGAGCAAAACCAACAATATAATAACTCTAAATAGTAGCTTTAATAGCTGAAATCTTCCGGTATTAGATAAGATTTTTTGTTTCCAACTAGCCAACGACTTATGAAGTTTATCCATAAAATGTTGTCAATCAACACCAAGATGAGATTTTTTGTTTCCAACTAGCCAACCACTCATGAAGTTTATCCATAAAATGTTGTCAATCAACACCGCTTATCTTAGAGTATTTAATGGTAACACCAAGATAAATCCAAAAAAGGACTGGATATTAATACCATGATGACACATAAATGATGTTGCATAAAAGGCATAATAGACTTAGAAAAATAGAAGATAGCCACCTTGGAAAGATTTAAAAGTCAATTTTGAAGAACAACAAAAAATATCAAGGAAATTTATCAAATTATGCATATTGTTAATATCAACCTTACAAAATATCAACAAATCATCGACATAAATAATGTGAAAATAATTGCAAGAATTTTGCTGAATAGATATTTGATTCTGAGCATCTAAAAGAGAAGAAAGAGAATTCACAACAATAACAAAAATGTAAGTAAAAAAAAAAAGAAGACAACTTTGGAAGAAACTAAAAGAGGAAGAAAAACAATATTTCATCTCACCATTAATGATAACAGAAAAATAAACATTATTCGTGGAAGCTTTATTCTAATTGATAAAAGATAAAGGAAAGCCCTTTTCTGAAATTTGTTATAAAGAGATGTTCTATTAACTTTATCAAAAGCTTTCTTAAGATCAAATTTTGAACAAAATATTTTTCGATGAATTACTAGAGCTAAAATAAAAAAGCATCACATTAGCTTAAATAACATTATTAGCAATATCTCGACATTTAATAAATGATGTTGGTGCTTGGTGAATCATTTTAGTATGAAGAATTTAAGCCTTTCATTAGGAAGTTTAACCATAACTTTATAAGTATTATTGGCTTATTGCAAAGAGAGATATGCCTAAAATTATGAATTGTTTTAACACCAGAACTCTTAGGAACAAGAGTAATGACAGAATGCTTAACCATGTTAGGTAGTTTAGAAGCTAGAAAGATGCGTTTGATAGCTTTAATACAATTCATCACAAACATATTATATTTTTAACATTTTAAAAACACTTTCTTTTCACAAAGCACAACTCCCTTCTTTAACGGAAAATAAAGACACAAATAATTAGATGTGAGAGCCAAGGTTGTCTGTCCATTGTGAGGATTTGAGCCACCATCTCCCCCAGACACCGACGCTGCCTCTCCATCTCCCTTACCCTTTTCCATTAGATGTGCTCATTCCACACAATTCCTGCCTATTTTCATATCTACCACAAAAAAAATTGCTTTTTATATTTATACCAGTCAAATCTTTCATATCACATAAACATATCCTAGTAGGGAAATACACTTTTTCATACATATGTAAGATGATTTGTATGCTTAAATTAAAGTTTATGTACTAAATATAGATAAAAGTTAAGTGTTTTGTATGTAAATATTCCTATTTGTTTCTAAAACATAGAAGACCAAGAATGTCAAATATATTTTATTAATATTGCAACATAAATACATTAAATACTTAATAAACTAGAAATTAGAAATAAAAATTAATAAAAAATATCACAAATGGACCATAAGGAATTAGAAATTTTGAAGCTCCTGTGGCATTCGAACCTAATAAATTTATCTCTATAAGAAACTTCATCGAGTCAATGCACTAATACGAATATCGGATGTCTTACTCGTGGATGAATACATTCTACTAGGGAGATAGAATATAAGAACCACTATCTCTATAAGAAACTTCATTGAGTCAATGCATCTAATACGAATATCGGATGTCTTACTCGTGGATAAATACATTCTACTAGGGAGATAGAATATAAGAACCACACATGCTTAAAGTTTTAAAATTTGTTATTTATGATCGAATAGGAAATTATGAACAATATGTCACCCCAAACACATGCTTAACGTTTTAAAATTTGTTATTTATGATCGAATAGGAAATTATGAACAATATGTCACCCCAAAAGGTGAAAATATTACCTTACATTGAATTCGAACGTGGCATGATAGTTTCACTACTTTGGGGGCTTGCATTGTCAAAAGCCTTTTCCCATTCCTTAAGAAGATATAAAGGGGCAAGTCTTCTAAGTTAATTACGTTCTAAGAGGGGCTATCCCTTAGAGCAATCCTTGATTAAAATATTAGCTAACATTTTTATGAATCACAAAGATTGAAGAAAACGAGTGTAATTTTGAATTTCAAGTCAGATATGCTCAAACTTGGAACAGTTTTTGCTAAAAGTCAATGGGCGAAGGGTAGGGAACAGAGATACTAGGAGGCTTAGTGGCACTCAAGTTTATCATTTAGTTGAGCTTTACAATTTAGAGATTCAATTTGATATTATGTGGTCAAGTTGTTTAGTTTATTTTAGAAAGTTTAGAATTTACATTCCAATGAGACAAGTAATGAAAAAGCCTAAGAGTTAATTTGTCCCATGGTAAAGCCAACATGATTGTCTCAAACCCTAAACTAAAGTGAGTCCTACCAATACAAGTAGGAGCCTCAAACCTAATCTAAGAGAGAGAAAGTGAGACTTACGAACTTCACTCCCATTGTATAGTGAAATTCAATATTACTTTGTGGGCTTACCGTTCCATCTAGAGAGAATGCCGACAAAATTTAGCTATGCTTTAAAATCATGTTGCTAATCACATGCACATAAAGAGTAGTACATTAATATATATAGAAAAAATACGTGAGGGCTTGTGACTCGATTTTGAAGATCAAACAATCTTGATATATTTTAAAAATTTTAATTATTTTATTTTTACTCAGTCAAATACTTTGATTATGATTCAAAGCTGTGTTGGGCATGCAAATTAAGTATATATGCATGCGTTGAAAGTTAATTTTAAGTTAATCACATACGAAAGATGAACTTCCCCAATAAAGGCATGTTGGTATTAATTTTTAATGTCAGATATTTATGGATGTTCTTTCAAGCCTATGGGACTATATCCCATTCTTGTGTGGCGTCCCATAGTCCAGTGACGTCCATCCAGACTCCTTGACACTTGTTTTGGACACAAAGGTCGAAGTCTGTCCGAACGCACCCACACCTTGGCCCTGAGGCACCAGTGCCAGTAGGTTGGTGCACCATCAACTCCCTGTGTTTAAAGCACCCGCGCCAGGGTAGCGTTGCCCCCACGTCAAAAGTCAGAGAACTCGAAAAAACCATTTCCGGAGGCTGGCATACCAGTACTCAACTGATGCTCCCGCACCTGTGTTGTTGCACACCCGCACCCGATAACCTAA